GAAACTTATAAATACCATGGTGAACTCCTGAAAGCCCTCACAAATGGTGATAATATATATAACATCCTATAGTGCCAGATTTCACGGTTATTTCAGTTTTTAAACATTGGGGTTATCACTAGCCTCCTTGCTATTAGAAAAACAATGTGATTTAAGTACAAGAGTAAAAAGACAAGACAAAAAACAAGGTATTATATCAGAACATTTTATTTTTTGATCTTTTCACTGCTTGAAGAAATGCCTAGATTCCACAGAGTGACTTACCCCAGCTAGACCAGCGAGTACAACACTAAACAATTATCAAAAAAGTTAGCTATTTCAGGACTGGAATACTGACGGGCGTTATCTTGGAGCGTGTCAGTGTTTAGGTCCTAATATTCGAATGTAATCCGTTGTACTGTACTTTTATAAACTTTTCCGTAAGATAAAACAGGGATGATTAGCGTTGAGTAACCTATTAGTTCTGGAAAACTAAAAAAAGGGAACTTGTTCATCGTTGATAACAGATGATAAACTATATCTTTTAAGATGTTTTGCAAGTTCAGGGTTTGCTATATCTACCGTAAATCAATGGCAACATTGGAATCTCAAATAGAACGCCCCTGTCAGTACATTTTTGGATTCTTCTTATAATTTTTGATATTTTTCATATAGTACCTATACCTAATTTCTGTTTTCACAATATTGGTTGTTAAAAATTAGCCGTTTTCCAACTTTAACCAGCCCCAAATTCCAAAATACTCAAATTGGAGCAAAATGGTTGGCACATGAATTGTTTGTAAGCTTTCTAATGACTCCAATTAAAAATTTGACATTATTTGATAGCTTATGAAAAACTAAGATGAGAATATAAAAACCGTTTACAGCCTGTCAAAGTGGCAAAATGGCCACTTTTCAACTGCCATTTTCTCAGTTGAAATTAATTATGGGAAGTACCATATGAAAATATCAAGAATTTTAAGGAGAATCCAAAAATGTGCTAATATCATGGGTGTTCCATTTGAAATTCCAACATTGCATATTTTGGAATAGTATATTATGCAACAAGTGCGGTAAACGGCATTTGACTCACGAGTTTATTTGACACGAGCGGAGCGCAGCAGAGCGAGTGCTTAACAAACGAGTGACTTAAAAAGTTTACCGAACGTGTTGCATACTATACCTTCTCTACGACCGTTAGTTTTTGGGTCCATTTTCGCAAAATAAAACGAAAAAAAAAAACAAACGTCACAATTGACAGCGTGGGTAATATCTCCGAAAAGATCCTATTGCTCCCTGACCCGTGCGGTGAAATCCCGGAAATGTCCGAAGTGGCTCGAATTCGTGAGAAACGAAACTGACGTGGTAAAGTGACACTTCCCGCATGCTAGATCGGTGTATAATTAGGCATTTTACAGACGGCAGCAGAAAAATATAGTTTATCGCCTGAATTCGTAGAAAATTTGGCCGTGTACCAAATTTGAACAAGTTCCCTTTTTTAGTTCTTCAGAACTTTTAATAGGCCACTCAGCATGAATCACCATGTATATACATGCTATAAAGATCCATTGTACTCTGGTACTAGATCCAGAATAAAAGTTTTCAATGAGATTTATACCGATTTTCTTGTATCTAAAGGTCTTCGATAAAGTTTATTTAAAATATAACTTTTGCTTTAAGTAAGTGACGTTGTTAGAAATATGGGGGACACACTGCATTTTGCAGACGATCAGGCTATTATGGCCGAAGACGTAGACGATACTTACCACATGATCCGAAAGTTAGACGAAGGATATCGAGAATGGGGTGTAACCATCAATACCACCAGAACTAAGTACATAGTCATAAATGATGAAAACAGAGATCTAGCGCTGAACAGTGGAATTATAAGTGCGGTTGATGGGAGTAACATTCACAACATCTGGTTCCAGTGACGTGAATATTAAACAGCGAATTAGGTCAGTTACGTGCCAACAACCAAATTGGGTTCTCTGAAGTCAACAGATCAGGCCTAACGTGAAAAGGCGAATTTACAAACCACAGAATGAGGAGATCAAGAATTGAATGGAAGTTACTAAATCCAATGGACACCACAGCTAAAGACCTAAAATGGTGGGGTCATGTTCACCCAATGATAGATGAAAGGTGGTTTATAAAAATGCTAAACTGAGTGTCATCTCAAAGAAGAAAAATTGAGAGGCAGAAGACCTGGAAATAGTGTTTTGCAATTGAAATGCAGCAAAGAGGCTTCCAAGACGGATATTGGGAGGACAAGGGACATTGGAAACTAAGATGCGAGAAAAGACGATAGTGTTGGTGGAAATTATAGTTTCCTATTTCCATTTCAGGTGTAAACCAGGCTGTACATGCAAAATCGAGAATACAGTATAAAATTCAATAGAATATGTCACATGCTGTGTGAATATCATAAATAAGTCAGACAAACCCTATTCAAGCATACAATTATACAGATTCGGAAAATTAGCTGTTCTACAGTTATGTTATTAATAGATAGAATCTGTTTTTTCTTTATATTTTTTTATTGTCAGTGAGATTTAAGTGTGGAATGGTGATTATCCTCCTGCACCTTTCACCTCTCTAGAAGCTGTACAACTTATATTAGAAGAGTCCAGAATTTTACCATAATAATCGTTTCCCTATGGCGTTAATAGTTTTATTGACGGGATGCTCGCTTTTGCTTGTGCTATTTGTTTATTAGTCATTGACACTCCTTGAGTCCCTGTTTTCTTTTTAATTATCTCAATGTAAATATATACAGTGAACGGCTGAAATATGGAACAAATTCATTTAAAAATCAGGTATTGGATTTATAGAAAAATACTGGCACACATCCATTAATTTTTGCAGAAAACAAAAATTAGACAGAGTGGGTTAAAAAGTAGATGTAGATACTAAGTTTCTTTTTTTTTAATGGAACGCCTTTTTTTAAAATCCATTTTCTAATTTTCATATGTCATACCCTATAGCTATATCATACTTTTTATGAATAAAATTGAGAGAATGAGATCGTCCAAATATTAATGAGAACACGAGTTGAGGATAATCCCCATTGTGCATCTTTTGAAATAGCTCCAACTAATGATATTATACAATGAACTACTTTGCTTGTATTTAGCGTTGTTACTGGTCAACTGACCACTTTTTAATTGACTAGTCAAATTTTTTTTTAAATAATATCTTGCAATTGTAGAGTGTTATCTATCATTATTTAATAATAATATGTATTTTATAATAAATCGTGATGTATAATTTACCTATAACCCCCTTCAAGAAACATCCGAACACGATACTTCGCGATTTGGAGAATCCCAATGATAATTTGGTTCTCAGAACGACGCGACGGCGACGTAACGCGCAATATAAATAAATTTAAAAAAATAAATATACATTTAATGGCATTTTTAAAATTATTTAGGTCAATTGACTGGTCAATAAACACAAAAACAATTACCGGTCAATCCCACAACCCTACGTGTATTAAAAGAAGAATAGTATCATTCGTACAAGATTACGTTACTACAGGAAATGAACCAAGATGATCCCGACCGCAGACTATACTTTAATGACAATGAAATGTGCAGTTTAAATCCATGTTTTTCATTGTCAGGTACTGTTTATTGATGAAGTTATGTTGTGTCTAAATGGTACGGTAAACAATCAAAGTTATAGGTAATAAAGTACAAATAATCCCTGAAGGAGGAGGGAAAATCAAACACAACATCCTCAAAAAATATATATTTGGACAGGGATTTTGAATAACAAAATTATTAGACCGTATTTCTTCGATCAAAATATTACCGGAGCCCAATATTTATAATTTCTTCAAGATGATTTAATTCCTACTCTCGGACTTTCTTTCCCAAATTCTAATTAGCCTGATATGCCAGGTAGACAGATTTCGTTTGAATAGGATCGTGATGCGCCCCATTTTGTTCGACAAGTGCATGAATATTGGAAGAATAAGATCAATAGATATCAGATAGATATTTCATATCAGAACTGTATAAGGAAAAAACACAAAATTGATTTAAAATTTAGAATTAGGTGCGATATGCACATTAATCAAAATATCATGAGTAATGTTTTGGAAGGGATTTTAAATCGATTACCATATTGTCAAGAAGTTTATCTCAGGCATTTTAAGCACCTCACAAAATAATGTCGGCTTACTCACTGTGGATCTTGTAATGAGTCTTTCTGGACATTTTGCGTTAAACAAATTACAAACTTCTTGAGTTCTCGCGTTGTCTTTATATTCAATAAAAATTAAAAGTTCCATTCTCTGCACTTGATTTAGATGCGCCATATTCACTTTCTTTGAAAAAAAAAGGAACTTGGTATCGACATCTACTTTCTGAGCCACTCTGTAAATTCTCTATTTACTGCAAGCAATCCGAAAAAAAAAAGATCGACGTGTGCAAGCACTTTTCTTAAAATCCAATACCTGATTCACTGTATTCATGTATATTTTCGTATCTGTAAGTTCTGCTTTCTACCTTAGATTTAGATCTATAAAAATTCGGAGGCACTGGTCTGGGTCCTTGGGCATTTTTAGTATTTCTTTCTTTGGCATGTAAGAGGGGTTATAATTTCGAATTTTGCAGCCTGTCTTAGGACTTTATCGAAGCAATTTCGGAGATACGTTTTTACATGGACTTTTTTCATATAAGGTGATTTTTAATTAACTTTTAGAATTTGTTACCGAGAACCCGGTTCTATAATTCAACATATGTCTGCATTGTTATTTATTGGTTTGAAGGAATTGTTTCGCGTTTAGTAAACAGCGATACGCAAAGTTATTATTCGTAATCGTAAGCTATTGTTAACATCGCATGGTGCCAATTATTATTGGTTCGTTTGTTTCAAAGCAAAGAGTTCGCGGAATATAGCACTGTACCGGCTGCGCACCTGAAAAGTTAAACTCTCGGTATATTCACGCGCAATAACAGTTATGGGCCATAAAACAAAACAGAAACGAATAAAATATTTTATTTCGCGTCCCAGAAGAAGCATTGTTTACATACTACATGTTATGCGTTATTTCTTTTATATGGTGTAGATTTTTCTAACCTATAATCATTAATACTTTCACGCGCAACCGTAATACTTGTTTGCTGTTATGGCGTAGAATCAGCAGATAAAAAATTCATGTAGTTGAATTTTCTTTCACAAAAAATTGCACCTCATTTTTCCTTAACTCTCGTCAATTGTCCCTTTGTAGAAGTTCTGCGAGAGCACGTTCTCTCGGACGAAGCCCTTAAGTTCCGCGTACGCTTTGTCCAAGTCCACGTTCATTATCACAGCATCGAAGTTCCCCCGCGTTAATCCGAATTTAATCTCGTCCATAGCTTTGGCAAGTCTCCGTTCCAAACTAGTTTCCGTTTCGGTTTTCCTCCTCACCAACCGCTCTCTGAGTTCCGCCAACGAAGGAGGCTGCACGAACACACTCCAAGATTTGATTTTCGTCTTTACTTGTTTCACGCCCTGCATGTCGATGTCCATCACGGGCACGCGACCCCTTTTCGCGATTTCCTCGATAGCCCTGAAACTGGTCCCGTAGTAGTTGCCGCTAAAAACAGCATGTTCCAAAAATTCGCCATTGTCGACGGCTTTCTTCATTGTTTCTTCGTCGGTGAAGTAGTAATGTTTGCCGTGAATTTCTCCCACGCGAGGTGATCGCGTGGTGTGACTCACAGTGAATCCGAACTTGTCGGGGAAATCTTCCATCAGTTTTTTGACCAGGGTACTTTTACCGACTCCAGACGGACCGCATATTATCAATGGACGCAGAACTAAATTGGGCATCGTCGCGAATCCTGCAAAAAAGAGGTAGTTAAAATCTGTCAAACGTCTCCGATCATTTTGTGTTGAATTTTTGACAATAGGTGTCAATTGTTACCTGTTTTGACGTTGAAAGCCCACACAAAGACTACTACCAATTTTCATGGTCTCTTATTGTGGAGTAATAATGACAGCGAAAATATGACAAAGACGACAAAGACGACAGTTCTTCAAAGAATTACACAATGAAAAAATCAGGTCCGTCATAATTTTTTCCTGCGTATTTTTGCAGCAAACAGATATTCATTTTCTTCACTGACAGAAAAGCAATTGTGACAATTTAAGAACTTTACTGGTACTTTGCTTTACAATTTACCGGTTCATTTCAAAATTAAATTTGTTTTTTTATTCTTTTGCTTATAAAAGATAGGTGAAATTTGATGCAGAATTCTAAAATGGATTACTTTTTACCCACCCTTTATGTTAAGTGTAAAAAATGCACTAGAAAAAATTATGATTTTTAAACGAATATAGAATATAGCCGTTCGCTGTATATTTGTTTGCAATGGCACAAATCAAAAACAATTAAATTTTAATCCAAAACAATTTCTAGAATGTAAAGGACACATTTCCTCCTATTTATTTACACCACCTTGTAAACAGTGTATGAACAAGTTTGCAGCTTGTTGGTATATTTACTATATTGTCCAAAAAGTTTTGAAAGAGACTGTTTGCACAAGAGTGTGAGGTTTGTGCAAAAGCCACAGGCTTCAAGTTGCACTTTCAATAGCAGTTATGAAAAAAAACTATTATTATTAATTCCTTTTTAAATTTAAGTTTTACATCACAAAAAAAAAATTGACAGGGTCACATGATTCTCGTCACCGGTGAAGAAACTTAAGGAAAAATTAGGTGTTGTGTAATTTTTTGTCAATTTTGAGCAAGTATAAGAAAAATATTTACTTAGGATCTGCCAAAAATGCAAATGAATGTCAGTTTTTCAATGGAACACGCTGTGTATCACTCTACATTTGATTGTCCCCCAAAATTATGTATTTTAGTAATAAAAAGAGGTATTGTAACAGTAACTAATCGGAAAGTTAATTAAAAGTGATCCATATTTCCATATTTTTTTAAACAACCTGTATAATGATTTTATTTTTTTAGTCAGCAGTTATTTTAGTTTAGGAAATAATTGACTTCTTTTTTCAGATATAGATATCGACATCCAGTTTTAACATTGCAAATTAACAAATGCATTTAACCTACGCTACGCTCCGCTTGTGCCAAATAGACTCGTCACTCAAATACTGGTGCATAATGTACTATTTCCATATGATTTGAACATTCTAAAGAACACAGTATCGATAAAGCATAAAGCTACAATTTGACGTTTAATTTTTAAGGACCTATTATCTACGTTTGATGTGTGCCGATTGACAGAACTGTTATTTTCAGTTTCCATTATTATTATTCTCAAAAATTAGATATTTTTCATTAATGCTTTTCTTAAATTGAATGATTGTACTAAGTTAAGTGAAAAACGTTTTCAGGTACCGAGTGCCCCAAAAAAATTGTAGGTCTAGTTATATAGGTACTGAAAAATACTATGTGGTGAAATTGTCACATACATGGACCAACAAAAAGTATATTTTTTCAATAGACATGAATGTATTTTTCGATTCCTCGTAAAATTCCAAGCAAAATTCATTTAATACGCTATTTATCTAAATTCAATCAAATGTTCGCGTTTGCGTTATCGAATAATGAAATATCATATTACTTAATCAAATATTTTATCAAAGAACTGTCAGAACGAGAAATATCGCACTAACAAGAACAAAAACAAATTGACTGGGCGATTAAATATAAATAAATATGTTCTGTCGGACCTTAGATTGAGATTTTCAATTTGTTGGCTATACTCATTAGAACGTATCTATTGGTGTCAAATCTGTGCAGTGTGCATTGCCGTATTTCTTGCGACGTTCGGAAAACCGTTCATTTTGTTAGTTTTAATTTTTTTGAAAATACTTAAAATAAAATAAATCTTCAATGACAGTTGAATAAAATACAAAAAACACAAATATAAAGGACACATGCAGTAAGATAAAAGCTATGCCGCGTTGCAAAAATTCAGCAGCAATTCACTATGATTTGTTAAAATAGACCATAAATTACGATAAAAGTTGAAGATGTTAGAACCCAAAATATCAGCTGTATTTTACGGAATTTCATAGTATTTGTATATTGTGCAAGCAGTTTATTAAACGCCATTGTGCGAACGAGTTTGATTTGGTACGAGCGGAGCGAGTGCTTTATAGACGAGCAAAAATTCATTCTGAAAGACGTGTGTGTTGACCGTCACACATGTGAAAATAACATAGGTAAAACCGAACTAAAAACATCCGATCGTTCCCTAAACCACTAAACTGCCAGAAAGGAAAAAGTGTGGAAACTAAAACTACCTTACGTGTAGTCAAAACTACAGAAAATTCAAAAAAACGGTTTATGGACTTTAAATTCCACCGAAATATCCACCAAAGCAAGAAAATTGCAAGTATTGAAATTAACATTTAGAGAATGACATCACTGCTCTGATGTCACTGTTGTTTGACATGTGCCAGACAAGGATAAGTTTGACGTCATTACGAATGGGTATAATTTTGTCTAAATAAGGCACCGGAACGTCTAAGATAACGACAAATTTTATCGCACTGTCGGTTTAACCTCAAGTGCGACAAAGTTACTTCGAGATTTTGACGGAAGGAAGCTAATTTTTTTTTTTTTTTGGTAAAAATAAATTAAGATTAACACAAAAACAAAAATTTTAAATGAATACATTCAAATACATCGTTTAACAGAAATAAGATGATATTTGTTTGGTCATTAAAATATACCCGCGGAGTAATTGCTTATGTTTAGTTTGCCTTGAAAACAATAACATTTAAGTGTATGTCAGAATCAAGAAATAGTTTTCCTTTTCGTTTTAAAATTTGCGATGATATGCACTGATCCACTGTATAACTGCGGAGAGAATGACAGTTTCAAGATTAAGGGAATTTCAATCGTTCCGAGAAGATGGTGGAAAATGCATTAAAAAGTCAACCCGTACGTGAAAACCGTGGAGCAACAAGAAAAACGACCTGCTATGAAGACAGGCGGATTGTTCAGACTTCTAAAAACGATCCATTTAAATCATAAACCACCACTAAAACTGAACTAGGGATAGAAATAAGTTCAAGGACAAGGTTTCAGTCAAGTAATCTGAATGGTAGAGCAGCAATAAAAATTCTGTTATCTTCAAACATCGTTTAAAGCTTGCCCAAGATGATTTGAATTAGAATGGTGAAATAGGAATTAAGAAATGGCGTAAAAATAAATTTAACAGGTTCTGATGGCAGGCGATATCTTGAAGACCTCCCAACGAAGAACTATTACCAAAACACACCATCAAAACTGTTGGGTAATCCAAATTTACTGGATAAAGATGGTTATGGACTAAAATGAGTATGTTCATATTTTTCACATCACGTTACCATTTGCAGAGGATCACGTGCTCTTAATATGCAAGTATCAACAGGATAATGATCCAAAACACACTTCTAGAACAGCGAAACAGTTTTTTGTGACAATGGTGCGGATTTCATACCCTTTCCAATCTCCAGAGCTCAATCCGATTTAGAATTTTTGGGCTTGTTTTAAAAATGTAGTTGACATGCAGAATGGAAAGCAATACCAGTAGAATTTTGTCAAAGGCTTATAAACTCTATGCCTAGAAGGTGCAATAAAGTTATTAAACATAAAGGTCACAAAACCAAGGCTCTATTTTTGTGGCCAGATCTTTTTATAGTTTTGAATTATTAATAATATTTTCCGTTACTAATCAAACGTTTGTAATGGAATTTGAAACTTAAATACGATACTGAATATTTATTCACCACAAAATATATTGAAATGGCTCTATTCCATTGATCACCCACTATTATATGTGTATGACAACAGCGTACCATTTCTAGTCCTTCTCTTTGATTCCAATAATCTCGGCATAGGGTTTAACTTATGCTACGATACAGTTTTTCGTTATCTGCATAGCTTTGAGTGCCTAGACTTACAAAGGAGTAAAAATAAAAAAGAGAAAAGTAAATATTACTGTAAAGGTCGTTATTTGGATGGATCCGTTCCAGTACCTTTTGGATACACTTGAAATTTAATAGCCTCAGATTAGAAAAAAAGTTATATTTATGCTCATATGTGCAAGATTTGGTTACAATATTGTAGTGTGTTTAATAAACGTTTCAATATCGTGAACATATCTTGGCTATTACAAGATTCGATCGTCCCCTCTTTTGAGGATAGAATATTTCTTTCTTCTAATCCTGTCTTCGAGAGGCGCAAAAAACACAATTCACATCAGAGTTCCTTCTAACTGAAATTTTAGTAAAATAGTAATAAAATGAAGAGTCGTGTCAAGTTCAACGTTGTATGCATTAATAAGAATTTTAAACAAGGAATTTTATTGCATTAACGAATAAGTACCATCATTATTAAATAAACTGCCTGACGTAAATACGCGTGTATTCGTGCTTGTCGGGTCTCGTCTGCATATAATGTTATTGCTTATCATCCCAAATCCGCAGTGGCTAAGAATAGGCTACTTGCATCTAATTTTTGTATTTACTAGAAATATTTATTAGTAGATTTAGAACTCACCTGCCAAATACTTTTGAAATACACTAACCCAGAATAATTTTACGCGCATTCTAAATTTGTAGCGACCTGGTTAAAGCGAGGTTAAAACACATAACCTATAAATTAACGCATAAGTCTTAGATAAAAGAGTTTAGGTTAGTTTAACAGCTCCTACTGGCTGATATTTAATGCATCCTGGAGTCACTAGGCGTTTTCGCGTGACGTCATATTTAAAATGTCATTAAAAAAGGTTTTATGATGCTTTGTTTTAAATTTGCAATTCACTGAATTTCCCACCAGTCTTTACTTCGCGCACAAGCCACCCTGTATAGCGTACCGAGATAATCAAATGGTTACATTTAAGCCTAATCTAACGTTTACGAGGAACCGCGTGTTTATAAACGCCAATAGCGCAAAAGTAAATATTTAACGACCATAATGTTCTAGATATAGGTATGTATAAGTTTAAAAAGAATGTCCTGTTTATATCCGACTACGATAATTCTTATCCAAACGGCTCGGTGGGTACGGGCTTTTATTTACATCGGGGACGTGAAAATGTTATCTCCAAAAGAAAAAAAAGATGGAATATTACTTTATTTAGCGCTTACTGTTTCGAATGTTAAATGTAACAACCTCTGGAATCATTTAGAAAAATTTCTCGCCCATTGTCGCACCCAATTTACAGCAAAAAAATATACTCAAGAGCTCAGATGAAGATTTTTCTAAAAAATTATTTGAAACAAATTTAAGGTAACGAAACAAAATATTGCTGGCGTCATATATATTATTCTTATTATTCTTGATTATATACAGAGTGGGTACATTCGGTTGTTTCTATTGTCTCGGAAACTATAAGAACTACCGAAAAATGGATGACGCATTTTCGATGGTTATTTTTTAGAGCAATGTTCTGGTAAATACCAGTTTGGTTTTCACGTCACAAAAGACGATGTTTACATACACTTTCTAAACTGTATAAAGAATTGAATTGCTCTTACCGTTTCTCCACTATTTTCTTTTGTTTATTTTTATTATATGGCAAAATTAATTCGTTCATAGCCAACTATGAGCCGTAATTAAACTAAGCTTTATGTTATAATAGAAAACTAAAATTGAAAATCTCTTCTACGCAAAAGAAGTTCTTGAAAGCGGTCACAATATATTGTAAAAGTGTTAAAAAGTGTTATGTAATGTATTTGTAATTAATAAAAATACATATCCTAAATTATAGTTACAAAATTTTAAAGATATGCAATTCCTGTCAATGTAGTAGCACAATCGTTTTTTAAGAGGCATGTTAGTAACATTAATAATTTAGTGCTTTAGTTACTAAAATTTGTGGAATATTTTTTATTTATTATCAGTAAGAAAAACTAATGCATCAATAAATATAAACATACACAACCATTGCAAATTTAGCTGCTAAAGTTTAAGGAATACTAAAATGTTGCCAAGATTATGGGAAATCAAAAACCACGACCTACTTGATTTAAGTTTTAGTGACATTCGTGCTATCATGTAGAATTAGCCGCTGTCACAACACGTATATGTCGACCATTCAGATGTATCATTTTTTTATTTTAAATGATTGTGCCCTTGCTCGGTCTTTTTGTTGAAATTGTGTGCTATTTTAAATTTTCAATAAGACAAGACAGTACGTGGTCGTTCAAAAAAAACTTTTTTTTTTCACTCAAAATTGCAAAAGAATGAACTTGTTTAGTTCAGAAACAAAAAACGATTGTGAGTTTTGGTCTTAACCATTGAGTTGTTTTTTTAGGTGGGTTTACTCAACAAAGGAGATAAAGAATAAAGACTGTTTCGTCCTTTTTTTATATCTGTTACCGAGACTTCCTGTGTATAGTACAGTTCAAAATTTTAATTTTTACATTTAATTGCAATTTCCAAATCTCCTATTGTTTTTCTTTGAGAGTAATAATTAGAAAAAAAAGGCTAGACTATAGATGAGCTTTACGTCTTTCGGGGAAATGAATATGGATGATGGATAAGTTTTCTAAGTAAATAGTAAAACAGGTACATCACTCATAAGGCGTTAAGTGTAACAATTGGTGGAACACTAGAATATAACAGTCGAAAAAGCAAATGTTTGAAGTTTATTATTAAAAAGTGTAATTATTTTTAAAAATTAAAAAACCGCATTTGCAACGTTGCAAGTCTATCCCGAAAACCGACTGTGACATGTAAAAAATTCTTGAATGAAAAGATTAGCGAGATCCAATGTCATTATTTTTGATAATCTTCAAAAATATAGAGCGTGTCCCGTTATTCTCAGAAAAAACTGAAAGTTGAGATCCAAAGCTACAATTTTCGTATTTACACTTTTTTGTGTATTATATAGGCTGACCAAGAAATTTGAAAAAATTTGAAGACGTTCTGATCAATCCGTTGTTATTTTAGGTTGTTTTGAGTTCAGAAATACTGACATTTTTTATTGTATGTACCCATTTCTATTTATTTTTTTATTTAATACTATTCCGATTTAGGTAGAACCTATTTTTTAAACTGCATATTAACCGCAAGTTTAAGTCTGTAACATAATTCCATGTTAATGCAGAATTTTTTTTACGTTGAATATATTTTCTTCTTCAATGAAATTTTTACTTGTGGCATCTTTATCTTTGAAAAATATTAATTTCATATATACATTCTCATATAATTGAGCGCAACGAATGCTGTTGAATGTTGAATTTTTTTAGAAACCAATGTTTCTGTTTTTGATTTTTGGAAACTTCTAGAACATTACATTATTATATGGACTGTTCTAATTTTAATATGAGCAACATATATATTTCGTTAGCAGACAAGTTCTTTTTAATTAATTAATTTTTATTTATTAATATTTATTTAGTTTTTTTGGTGTCTGAGTCCCTTACTAAATGTGCTGAAAAGTGAAATGATGTCAATGCAAAGTCCCATGTTTCATTAATACATTTGCGATTTCGTAACACATATGCGGTCAACAATTCTGACATCTAACAAACCTTTTAATCAAAAAAAAAAATTGTCGCAAAATTATTGTAATAATCACAGATTGTTGGTACTGTAGGTGACCCAAACGTCCCCTGTTGTGATTAACAACCCAAATAACGCGATAAATGCAGCCGAAGTGTGGTGATGCAATTATTTGTGAATAAAATAAAATCCGGTTAAAACCGATCCACCAGAACCACCAATCGGTTTACCCAAAATAAACATTAACAATTTTATGACTCCCGATTTTTCAATGTGCGGATCATCTATCAATGTTAAAGGTCAAGCATACGGCCAGAGATCACAAATCAGAATACCTTGTATTCGTGACTGCTGCTTGTTGATAAGTGGGACTATATTAGTTGGAATAGAACGCTAATAATTATTCGTAGTATATGCGCGTAGGATAAAAGCTTCATTAGCTTATCGGCGGACGATATCGCATGGAAAAACGTCACTAGGGCAAATTATGCTGGTCATTACCATAAAGTTTGACTGTGGAAAAGGGAAATAGCAACGACCCGCTCTGCTCCTAACCACGCACGTGCATATTCGGCAACACGTGTTCTTTATGGCCGTCTGTAGTTTAAACAAACTGGAAGTCACAAAGTTCGATTTTTTTAAGAAACATTTTACGATGTAGTCTGGTACAGGTTGTTGGATACTTTCGAACCCTTTAGCATCATATTGTTACTTTAAGAAAAATGCAGTGTCTGCGTGAACGCCTTCAAAGTAACAAGTAAAGTCACTAGGGTGAAATTTATAATGGCTACCTGAGACTACCTCGATCACATTAGAATATGACAGCATTCATTATTTTGACTAAATTGTTTAAGGCCTCCTCAAATTCCAAACTATGAGCTAAAACTGTCGATCAATTGAACATTTTCGCGATGCGTATAAAATGTTCGACATTTTTGCCGCAAGGCGGACTCTGCAATGAGGCGTTTGTTCGCGACGTTCCTTTGTTTTCGGCCGCAGACAGGGCCGGGCCTCGCTCGCTCGTCACAATACTTTAATGAGTCGGGGGGGGGGGGGGACGTTTCAAAAATGAAGTTAGTTTAACGAACTAAGTCTATGAAACAGAAAAATACCATTACAGGTTAAGGTTATGGGTTTACAAATGATTTTTTTTAATCTGACTGGAACATAAATTATATATCCAAAAAACTTTTGCTGCATTCATCTTAACTGCGTCATATGCAAACTGGCACGAATACATTACATTCGCCGAGTGATGTGTCACGTAGCCGATAGAATTGATAAATGTCGAAATACCATGGCTAAAATCTACCAAAAATATCCGATTGGTCCCCAACGCGTGACTAAAATACCAGATATGTGACTAAGTATCGATGTGGCTCGCGACTGCGAATAACGAAGCTTAAAAGTTCAGTGTAGGAATTAGATAAACCTTTTTTGTAGCTATTACCATTTCTAAAATAGGATAGTCGTCATTTTATATGGACCACCACCAAGAGAATACGTTATATATGCTAGTTTCAATAATTTCCGGGGTTTTTGGGAAACGAATAGAACAAATTTGTATACCCGTAGTTAAATTCACGCGATTCTGTCATTTCCTTCAGACCTACGCAAGGACTCACCATTCGGATATCATGTTTATTGTTGGCACAGTAGCGTTACAATACAATGTAAGTGTGTTGCAAACATTTTTAAATTTAAAGTGAGAACTTGTCAAGTAACCCCGCTTTCTTCGCATTGATTTTTGTTCATATATAACTATTAGGAGGAATATACAGGAACTTATGAAGAAAATAAAGGAAAATCTCGTTTTTAATCAATGACCTTACGGCATTCAACAACTAATATGGCCGCTGACAGATCATTAAAATATGTCCAGAAATAATTCAATTTTCGGACAAAAAGAAGTTAGGTGCGTGGGATATCATGATATAATGACTGTATTGATTGGATATATGTTACCTTAGGTGAAAATATACTTAAACTGAATGTTACTACTATGTTACATGCTACTCGTATCACAGCACAGTATATCCGATACTGTAAGACACTTCATTATCAGATCATAGACTTTTAAAACTTTCAATCCAAGGAAAAGTTATGATATATAAACCTAAAGAACGACATGGCATAAAGAAAATCAATAATAAAAAAATGTTCGGCATATATTTAACCAAGAAATATGACATAATACAGTTAAATCATTTCAAGACCTTATTACTATTATAGGCATACGTAGAAAAACGATCCGAATAAGTAAAAACAAATGGATTAACGCTGAGCTACTTACTTTAGAACAAAGTGGAAAGAGACAGGTACAAATGTGAAATAGCAACGGCTATTTGGCTATTTGTAAATATAATTAAAAAAAAACGGAGAAATGAAAACCCACATTGATGGTGGCACTGATAAACTAAATAATATTGTACATAACCTAAAATCAATACTTTACTGAGATGGTGAGAGACCTTGATTATGATAATCAAACTTCAGGTCTAGACCCTAATTTTCCAGACATTACATGTGAGAATAGTATTTTGCTAGATCTGACTAATGAGCAGAAAATTCGCTTTATCATATCTGAACTGGAAAAAAAAACTCTGTCTCAGTTCATGACGGAATGACCGTCAAGAACTGTATAACTTGAACAAAGAGATTATACTTTTCTAGAATAATTAAAAAACCAAAATATGCCCATTTTTCAAAT